AGAGGGGGCAAGGCAGACGCATTGAGGGAGAGTGTTCCAGAGATTCAGGCCATAATGGCTGAAAGCACGACCTCCAATGGTGGTGCGGAGGGTGCGAGGGACGAGCAGGAGGCCAGTACCAGTTGAGCGGAGGGGCCAAGTGGTGGATTGGAGAAGTGAGGAGTCGGAGAGGTAGAGAGATGCTAGAGTGTGGTTCAGTGAGGCTGAGGGAGAGCCCAGGGACGTTGATGAGTTTAGATCTGCAGGAGTGAAGATTTTGACAGGCTCCAAGGAGTATGGCTTCCGTCTTGTCCATATTCAGCTGCAGGAATTTTGCACTCATCAGGCCCTGATGTCTCCCAGACAAGCTGATAGAACATCGGAGAACCTGGAGTCGATGCTGGAGGAGTCAAAGTCGATTTGTGTCATCCGCATACATGTGGAAGTTTACCCCGTGTCTGCGGATGACATCGCCCAGAGGGAGCATATAGATAAGGAAAATAGGGTCAAGGATGGAGCCCTGGGGTACCCTGCAGCTGACCAGGCGGGAGCAGTCAAAATACAGTCAATCCACTTCACAAATAATAACTTGCATTTATATAGCACCCCTCACGCAGAGTAGTGGTCCAAAGCGCTAGACGGTGGGGAAGGTGACCATAGGCACAGTCAAGTAGAATGGTCTTCAGGTATGACCTAAATCTGAAGTGGAGCTAGATCACCACCGGAGCTACTACGAACCCCCGAATTCCTGCTCATTCCCTTTCTATTGTTCCTTCTCAAACGTTTATCCACTTCCCTGTTAAATGAAACCATACCATGTTTTAACAACCTTCTGTGTGAAAATGTTTCATCTACTTACCTGTTAAATCTTCCAGTAGCAACCCTGCCATTGTGCCTTACTTGGAGTGGAATTCAGGAGTAAAATCTTATTCCACTCAAGTGAAACAATTTGTGAGCACACCCCCACCTCCAATTTGCTCATTCAAGCTGATATAATTCAATGAGTGCTGTCTGCCATACCTAATTGTAAATTTTTCATATTTGAGCTTGGATTGAATAGAAACAGGGTGCTTGACTGTAAACTAAACCCAATCCTATCCTCATCTAATATCCTGTACTATTCTGCAGGGGTCACTGGATAGTATTATGGACTGATTTCATGTCCTTGTCTTGCACCTCAGACTTCCTTTCACCCACAAAATACATTCAGTCCACTTCACAATACAGTGTATTCTGTGAACGCTGGATCCCAATCATACGACTAAAATGTAACCCAACGTTTTAGCAATATGATCACACACACCGCATGCGGACACACACCCGACACACATTCCTCTGTCGTCAAAAAACTCCTGAAAACCTACATGTTTGACTGTGCCGATAATTGCCTCTCTTCCTCTGCCTTTGTTTGGTGGAAAAGTGCTTCCAAACATTGCTTCTGTGTAAGATAGAGTATCTGACTCGACAACGTGATAAGGCGCTATATAAAATGCGAGGATTATTATTATCTCTAAATGCAAGTGAGGTACACAATGTAATTCCATATGTATCCATCAGGGGGAGCACCTTATATGCGGTGCTCTTAAATGTAACACTGCTGTTGGCTGAGCTCTTGAAGTGTACAGGGTGACCCCAAAGTCCTGTAACCCCCCCATGTTTTCTTTCTCCAGCGCACTGCCCAACAACTGAAACACGTGGAAGAATGACGATAATTGGGTGTAGAAGTACTTAATTGCACCCCCTAACTATGGGGGTAAGAGGACTTTGTGGACACCCTGTAGATTATGAAGAGCATCTGAAAAATAACAATACCAAAATTACATTCGTACAGCGCCTTTCACAGCGAGAGGACGTCCCAAGTCGCTGGACAGTCGGGGATTTGGACCCGAGCTGGGGGTCGGGATCGGGGAGGGTGGAAGGCGGGGAGGGCGGCCGAAGGCGCGGTCGAAGAGGAGTGGTTTTGAGACGCACCTTGAATCGGGCAAAGGGAAAGCGGGATGGAGTTCCATAGGTTGGGGGCAGAAATGCTGAAGGTCTGGCTGCCGATGGTGGAGCGGGGCACAGCCTGCTGAGCGGTGGGGGGGGTAGGGGGGAACGGACAGGTTGGAAAACGTGAAAGTACAGTTCTCGCTCAGTCCCCAGGCTCACAAACCAAACACTTTGTGTTTAATTGACGTCTGGAAGAGGTTATCTTTGCACAGAGGCAAATAAAAAAAAGTTCTAAGGGAACCTGCTGGAGGCTGGCACATTTAATAAACAGCATGATGTAATGGGAAGGAGGGTATTCTGCAAGGATGAAAGACTGATGAAGAAAAGGTCAACAGGAACTGTTCATTCCTTGAAGCTGATGTTCCTTTGATCGAAACGTGTGTGAAAATTTTCTAAATATGAAGTTGTTCTCTGCGTGCCCAGCGCTGCAGTACACATTTGAACGCTAGATGCAAAACCCTGAGCTGGGTATAACTGTATCTTCTTGCTAAATAAGTTATGAAATAGATATTTCCTTGTGAAATCTGTCCCACACTCTGGCCGAACATTTTCTCCTGTATATGTGATTGGCTCCAGTAGATGGCACCAGGAATACCGGCTATTTAAATGTGTCCTGTTTGACGCTGCCAAACCATTCCTCCTACACCAGGACCGCTGAACACCTGCCCCGTTATCTGAAATGCTGGACCAGCTGTAGCCTATCTGAACAGGATGTGACTCACCTGAAGATATTTCCAACCCTTCTCTCTATGTGTGACTCTCTCTCTCTCTCTTCCCGTGTCTGAGTTTACGAGCAAAGATGAGTAAGAATAAAGTACAAGGGGGAAGAGAAAGAGGAAAGAAATGAGTGTAGGTACAACCAACTTGATTCCTTCCCCCAACACCATCACCACCACCATGTCCACGTGTAGTAATAAAAACAATCCTTGCATTTGATATAGCGCTTTTCACATCTTCTGGCCGTCTCAAAGCGCTTTGCGGAATATACTTTAAAGTGAATTGACTGTATATTTTGTAGGCGTAACGCGGCAACCGATTGAGTGGCCAAATTATCATTATAATTATTTTTTAAAGGATCATTGTTCATTATTGTGTTTAAGGCTGTAGTTTTTTTTTTAAGAAGGATTATTATCCCCGGAAAAGCCATCCGCCAATTGACTAACAACGGAGTTCCAACTTACTGCTGGGTAAAGAGGTGTGTGTGGAGTAGGGAAACTCGCCCAACATTACGCCCTGCCCGGGAATAGATAAAACCCAGGTCTCTCACTGTGAGGCGAGTGCTTTAATGACCGAGCGCCAGGACTCCGCTTATTATGGTTGAAGGCGGTGGCTGCATCCGTATTTGACGAAAGGGATTGGAGCGAGTCAAGACAACTTGGCCTCTCTGTCTGTCTCTAGTTTCCTTCCTCTTTTCCCCCCTGACACTGAGCCAGCCCAGTCCAGGTCCCAGTCCAAAACCAGCCCAGTCCCAGGTCCCTTGGCCAGTCCAGGTCCAAGCCCAGTCTAGTTCAGGTCCCAGTCCAAGCCCAGGTCCCAGTCCAAGCCCAGGTCCCAGTCCAAGCCCAGGTCCCAGTCAAAGGTCCCAGTCCCAGTCCAGGTCCCGGTCCCGGTCCGGGTCCCGGTCCCAGTCCGGGTTCCAGTCCCAGCCCGGGTCCCGGTCCCAGCCCGGGTCCCAGTCCCAGCCCGGGTCCCAGCCCGGTCCCAGCCCGGGTCCCAGTCCCAGCCCGGGTCCCAGTCCCAGCCCGGGTCCCAGCCCGGGTCCCAGTCCCAGCCCCAGCCCGGGTCCCAGTCCCAGCCCGGGTCCCAGCCCGGGTCCCAGCCCGGGTCCCAGTCCGGGTCCCAGCCCCAGTCCGGGTCCCAGCCCCAGTCCGAGTCCCAGTCCGGGTCTCAGTCCCAGCCCGGGTCCCAGCCCCGGTCCCAGCCCGGGTCCCAGTCCCAGTCCCAGCCCGGGTCCCAGTCCCAGTCCAGGTCCCAGCCCGGGTCCCAGTCCCAGTCCAGGTCCCAGCCCGGGTCCCAGTCCCAGTCCAGGTCCCAGCCCGGGTCCCAGTCCCAGTCCAGGTCCCAGTCCGGGTCCCAGCCCGGGTCCCAGTCCCAGCCCGGGTCCCAGTCCCAGCCCGGATCCCAGTCCCAGTCCCAGTCCGGGTCCCAGCCCGGGTCCCAGTCCCAGTCCCGGTCCCAGTCCGGGTCCCAGTCCGGGTCCCAGTCCCAGTCCCGGTCCCAGTCCCAGTCCGGGTCCCAGCCCGGGTCCCAGTCCCAGCCCGGGTCCCAGTCCCAGTCCGGGTCCCAGTCCCAGTCCCAGTCCGGGTCCCAGTCCCAGTCCGGGTCCCAGTCCGGGTCCCAGTCCCAGTCCGGGTCCCAGCCCGGGTCCCAGTCCCAGCCCGGGTCCCAGTCCCAGTCCGGGTCCCAGTCCCAGTCCCAGTCCGGGTCCCAGTCCCAGTCCCGGTCCGGGTCCATTGCCCAATCGCCTCTCCTGGACAGGTAAGAGCCGAGCGCAACCTAACCTCGAAGCCCCGCCGCCCATTGTTGACGCGACTGAGGCGTCAGCGAATGAGGAGCGCGGATGGCCGAGGCCGATCCAATCAGAGTGGGGGAGCGGGTGGGGGGGCGGGGCCGAGGCCAGCAGTCTGGGTTGCTCGGCAGTGCACCAGGTTGTCTGGTGGCAGATACAGACGCGGCTGAGGCTCACCAGGTGCTGACAGTCACAGCCCCTGTGTGTGGGTGTGTGTGTGGGTGTGTGTGAGTGTGTGTGTGTGGGGGGGGTCGTATTTTTTTTTTTTTGCTTCTGCATTGAATTGCATTGAAAACAAAGACGAAAGATGTTGCTGTGACAAACCCCAGCAATTTGTGTGCATTGCATTGTGTGTGTGTGTGTTTCTGGCCATTTCATAGCCCTTTTGTTCTGTTGCATTGCACTTTTATATATATATAATATATAATATATATATATTGGTGGGGCAGCAAGAGAGGAAAAGGGCAAATCTCTGCAGGTGATTCACCCCCCACCCACCCACCCACCCCACCAAACCATAACCATGGCTCGGGTTCGCTCTCAAGGCGATGATTTTACCTTCGTCAACCCCTTGGTGAAATATTTATTGTTTTTCTTCAACATGCTCTTCTGGGTAAGCGATTTCTCCTTCTCTTCTGCGCGTTGTGAATTAAATATTGTTATTATTATTATTAATTATTGTTATTAGTTATTTATCAGCCGCGTCGGATATTGGCGGAGTGTCCCTACTGGTCCATTAGATGGGTTGGCCTCGACCTTGTTCTTGCGCTGTGTTATGTGGGCGCGCGCGCGCGTGTTTGTGTTTTCATCCAGAGTTTCGCCCTCAAAAACACACAAGTCCATCCGATTTGCAGGACGTTACGTGAAAGCGCCTTCGAGACGTCTGGGAGATGTGATAAGGCGCGATATCGAATGCGAGGGTTGTTAGATTTTTTTAAAAATAGCTGCATAGCAACCTGTCCCTTTATTTTTCTCAGTCCGAGCATGCTTTATGGACAAGTGAATAATAATAATGATACTTGCTTTCGACATAGCGCCCAGTCACGTCGTTGAGACGTCTCCAAGCGCTTCCCAGAATACGTTGATTGTAAAGCGGATTGCTGGACTGTGTGTTTCGTGGGCGCGAAGCAAAGCGGGCAGACACGGACAATCCCAGCCATTCAGAGCCTCTGAGCCGTTCAAAGAAAAGGACCACTTCAATTAAAATTCAGCCCGATTCTTCCAAACAATATCCCTCAAACCATGAACAGAATCCTTAAAGCAACAAGGGTTTCATTCCTATTTTTAAACAACAAAACATCCCGTGTAAATCCCCTAGAGCTCTCTCTCTCTCTCTCTCTCTCGCTCGCAGAACATACTGACCCCGGCTTAATTTTTTTATTCATATTTTTGCGCAGCAAACAGTTAGACACTAACTTTTTTTCCCCCTCCCAGTTTAATCCTCAGTGAAAAATCCCACTTCACTGCTGGTGTCAGGCACTCTGTCCTACCTTCTTGTGGAGCAGAATTGCTTCTGTAAACGCTTTAAAGGGGCAATGCCCTTCCAGTGAACCGTTCCATCTTTGGTTGCTTGATTTCAACACCTTGGGATGTCCTCCCGACATGAAAAACATGATAATAATAGTAATAATAATAATCCTCGCATTTGATAGAGCACCTTAAACGTCGGTGAGACACCTCAAAGCGCTTCACATAACATACCGTAAAGCGAACTATCTATTTTGCAAGTCGTTGTTGTTGATTTGAATGGTTCTCCCGCAATATGATTGGTCAGTGTATAAATTTGTGTGGTTTTATCTGGTCCTAGACTTCAGGGACAACCTAATGCTTTAGTCAAATCGTGTCACGTTTTCTTCACCTATGCAAGAGAAATTATTGCTCTCTTTTTCTTCCTCATTCCTCCCCCACGCACACACACCTTCCTGGAGGTGTTGCACATGTCAGAATTGTGAGTGGCTGGAATTGGAAATTGGAAACCCTTAAAGCACAATATGGGGGTTGGGGTTTCCACAGGTGTCAGGATCCAGACCAACAATTCCCTCCCCCTCAATAAAAATTCTTCATTCACTTCGAGGCTGTTTGTGGGATATTGCTGTGTTCACCTATAAGTATAGTCACCGCACTTCACAGTATTTCGTGTGAAGCGTTTTGAGATGTCCTTTTGATCTGAAAGGCACTGTACTAAAAGCAAGGATTGTTATGATTATCAGTGGGGAAAAATGCAGTTGATACTATGTTCATTATTTCGCCCCAAAAAAGAACATTTCTTCTTCAACTTGGCTGTGATAAGTCAATATATTGCTAGTCAAATGCCACAGTTATCTGTCTCTGTATCAGCAATGCTGCTGTCAACATTCCTGATCTGAACTCTCCTCCTGTTCCTCTCAAGCTCGAAATATGATGCCCTACATGTTCTTCCAAGTAAAACTCATCACCTTGCTTTCCTTGAAAGACCGCACTCATTCTCTCCCTTAATCTTACCCTCAGGCTACTAAAATACATGCATGCAAGTACCCACCCACTATCTATGATTTCATCTCTCTCTTTTGGCCTGAAATTCCTAATGATTCTGGCCTTATGATCATTATCTCAAAATTGGAAGATTGTGGAATTTGGAAAAATGCTTAAGTTCAACCTTGGGTTAGAGAGTTGCACAATTGCACATCTTACATTTTAAGACGACAGCCTTAAGGTTAAACCCATGAGAGATTTCGGGCCTCACATTGTTATCCAGTTAAGGCCCTTTGGAAAGAATGTGTGTGTGGGCAAGGGCAGGATAGGGCTAGTCTACAAATGTTCCTCAGGCAACGCTCACTGTGTGGACTTGTGCTTGAAGGATAGCTATTGTATCACCAGCCAGTTGCATCAGGAGAGCAGGAATTTAATGAGTCAGAAAAGTAATAATAATCCTCGCATTTGATATAGCACCTTATCACGTCATTGAGACGTCTCAAAGCGCTTCACAGGATACAACTGCTGTGTGGAGTTGCCTGCTGCGTTTCGTAGTTAATTCACTTTACAGTAGATTCTGTGAAGCGTTTTGAGACGTATCGAAGACGTGATAAGGCGCTATGTCAAATGCAAGGATTATTATTATTATTATAGCATAAAATAGATCGACTGTATTTTGGGAACGTCCTCCTGACGTGAAAGGCTCCATTAAAAAAGATTTGCGTGCTTGTTATTCTGTGGGTGAAGTGCAGCAGTACAGTTTGCGCCCAGCAAAGTCCCCCAAACAGCCGTGGAGTGAGCAATTAATTTTACTTGGGGGTGGGGTGGGGGGGGAAGTACACATAAGCATACTGGTAGCTGTTTGATCATTTCTCAGGAATTCACCGATGATCTCAGCAAAGACGAACTGTTGCCCCCATCGCCACCCCATGTGAATACTTACATTTAATAGCGGGCTGGGAACTTCACATGGGAAATTTCTGTGGATTCCTCTTTAGATAGGAAGTGAAACATGCAACGTTTGTGCCTTGAGAGGTGATCTCAGCTGTTGTTTCCTGCAGCTCCACTCCATTAACTTTCAGGGACTTTTGATTTCAGTTTGGGGGAGGGAGGGCAAGGGATTTCCAGTGCGTAGTGCGGCAAAGCTGTTCGTGTGTCAGGGTCATTGATTCCTGCAAACCAAATGCAAATAAAATTGGTAAATAATAAGAAATAGTCCTTGCATTTGACGTAGCCCCTTATCACGTCTCCGAGACGTCACAAAGCGCTTCACAGAGTATACTGTAAAGTGACTTGACTGCATCTTTGCTTTTTGGCGAAACACTATATACCTATTGCATGACCCCACTCTCCTACCTACAGAAGACCAGGAGTCTTGTGGTGTAGTGGTTGGAGCACTCGCCTCGCAAGCGAGTTTTGTTTCCCTGACAGGGCGAACCCTTAGGCAAGTTTCCTTACTCCACCCGCCTCTGTTTACCTGGTAGTTGGTAGGAACCCGGTTGTTAGTCTTTTGGTGGATCGCTCTCTGGGGATAATAATGCAATCAAAAAATACAATTAATTATTAATTACACTCCACCCATGACTGTTTGTAGGACATTGCTGTGTGCAATTGGCTGCCGCGTTTCACCCACAAAATAAACAGTCATTTCACTTTACGTTATATTCTATGAAGCGCTTTGAGATGTCTGAAGAATAAGGCGCTATATCAAATGCAAGAATTATTATATTATAACTAGACTCCCTCTCCCCCACCCATGCTCCCCTACCTAAGGAACAGCAGACCTGGTTCTCTTCCCTACCCTCGCCCTCTGCCCTCCTACGTACAGCCTATAGAATTGAGGAGTACTGTAGCTCAGTGGTTAGAGCACTCGCCTCGCAAGCGAGAGACCTGGGTTTGATTCCCGGCCAGGCGGAACCTTGGGCAAGTTTCCTTATTCCACACGACCTGATAATAATCCCTCAAGAAAAAAAACAATAGTGAAGTTGATAAATCCAACACTGTTCGTGGGACACTGCTGTGCGCAATTGGCTGCCGTGTTTTGTCCACAAATATACAGTCAATTCACTTTACGGTACGTTCTCTGACGCGCTTTGAGACGTCTGGAGGACGTGAAAGGCGTTAAATCAAACTCAAGGATTATTATAGCAACGGGCAAATGCTTCAGTAGGATTCTGGCTGCAGCCTTTGTGTTCAGTCTTGGGGAGTCAGTGTACAACAGATGTATACTCAGGAGCAGTTCTGCTTCAGGAAGCAAGTGATGTGGAAAATCACAGGCCCCGAGACCATTCGAGAGCTTGAATGCTCAGACCTTGTCTCTGAGGTTTAATTACAGGATACGGTATCTTTCAGCAGTAACTGGGATAGTACAAGGGGGAGTAAGCACGGATTAAGAAGAATGTCGTAGGTTCATACAAACATATTTGGTTTCTGTTTATTCAAGTAAAAAGGAATTAAACGACAAGTTATTTTCTAAGGATAGGTGGCTACAACATTGGGATGAAATTTGCCACCTTTCGTAAGAGATGCAATGTGATAATTAAATCTGTTTTTTTGTCGCAGATTTCCCCGTCCATTTTCCCTCCCCCCTCTCCCTGTGGTTTTGCCTGGCTCAGTTGGTAGGGCTCTTGCCTACAAACAGAAATGTGGATTTAGATTTATATTGCGCCCTTCACACAGGATAGCATCTTAGAGCATGTAGATTCAAAGCCTTGTCATGCTACTGAATCATAGTGGATTCAATTATAAGCTCATAGTCAAGCATGCACTTCAGGGCACTGTTGGAGGTGACATCCTTTGGAACGAGATGTTAAGCCAATGTTATTTACTGCATTAAATAGTCACTGAATATCAGTTTGTATGAACTTGTGACATTCGCCTGTTTTTTCAGCTGGACATTAAAAACCCCAAGAAGGATAAAGATGAATAATAATAAATAATAATCCTTGTATTTTACATAGCACTTGATCACGTCGTTGAGACGTCTCAAAGCGCTTCACAGAATATACTGTAAGATAAATTGGCTGCATATTTTGTGGGCGAAATGCGACAGCCAATTGATCCAAAAATTTGATCCCAAGCCTCTGCTGAACTAGTTGCTCACCTGGGTTACCTGACTTTCAGAATCCTGGGTATCATAACTAGCCAAATCCACAAATTTTA